TCTTCTCACGGAACAAAGGACAGGACAAGAGGAAACAGCCTCAAGTTGTGCCAGAGGAGGTTGGATATTGGGGAAAATTTCTTCATGGAAAGGGTGGTCAGGCCCGGGCATGGGCTGCCCAGGGCAGTGCCGGAGTCACCATCCCTGGATGTGTCCCCAAGGTGTTCCCAGGTGGCACCTGGGGAGAGGGGTTAGTGAGCACAGGGGGATTTGGTTAAAGGCTAGATTCTTATCTTGCAGGCCTCTTATAACCTTAATGATTCTGTGTGGGTAGAAACACTGTTGTCTTGCGCTGTTGGGTTTTTGGAAGGGTTGCAAAGATGCTCTTTTAGGGAATACCAGGGAAATGTGATTTTTTTTTTTTTTAACTTTTTAAATTTTTGTTTTATTTACTCTTCCAAAGTGGCCCGAGGCTGCTGCTGGAGCTGTCCTTGCGACCTGCACCTTTCCAGAGTCAGTGAGCACCAGCCCAGCCCCCCAAATTGTTCAGTGACAGTCACAGCCCCGGGCTGGGTCGCTGGGTGGGCAGTGGGTTGGGAGCCTGGGGGAGCTGTGCCCACCTGACTTGTTTGTTTGCTGCCCCTCAGAGAGGAGCTCCCAGGACTGCAGAGAGTGGGTTATTTACCCTAAAACCAACCAGAACTGCCCCTGGTCTGATCTGTGGGAGGGCCACATCCCAGGGCAGGGGGACACGAGGCTGTTCCTCGGGGTGGGGTGGGCAGGGCAGGGTGGGGTCCTGCCCCCTGCGCAGCCTCACACAGGGTGTTCGTGCCCTCTGTGGTCACGCTGGGTGTGATGGGCTGGCAGAGCCCCCCCCCCCGGGCTTTACCTGCTCACCTGTGTGGTACCTGTGTGTTATAGATATCATTTATATTAGTTGCATAATAATAAATATAAATAATATTTATGTGTTTATATATTATTATACAGTATCATGTAATTTATATTAACATATATTAAATATATTAAAATTACCTAATCCCTACAGCTTCATAAATGCACTTACATATGTTAATTACATAACTATATTAAATTACATATATATGCAGTCCATACATATATACATACAAATACAGGGATAAAATGTTACATATATAAATAAATGCATAACATATAGAAAAAATGTCTTACACATATTTAAACACGCGGTAAAGTGTTACATATATAAATAGGTGCATAACACATAAACAAAAAAAATGTCTTACACGTATTTAAACACGCCCTTAAATGACAATTCCACTATCACGTATATAATTCTTATCTGAGGCCAGAGGGAGCACGCAGCCAATCACAGGGCTGCCTGAGATCACGTGGGTACCCTAGTGTCACGAGATGGCTGCCAGCCAATCACAGAGTAGCATGACGTTTCACAAAATGGCTGCGCCCTAGCATAAGATGGCGGGCGAAACAAAATGGCCGCCTCCAGCGGACACGGGGGTGTGGCCTTGTGTCAAACATACTTCCGGGAATAACCCGTGGGCGGGGCGACTGGTCCTGCCAACCAATCGCAACACATACCT